GGAAATACAGGGAATCCAGGACAGATGAACCCCTCAGGACCAGTGGTGAGAGTGGCGATATCAGGAAGGTGGAGGAAAGGTGAGGGAGAAAGGGGGAACAGATGACAAGGTCTACATATACCCTCCTCCCTGGGGGACGGACAGCAGAGAAGTGGGTGAGGGAGACGTCGGATGGTATAAGATATGATAAAATAATAATAATTTATAAATTATCAAGGGTTCAGGGGGTAGGGGGAAGCAGGGAGGGAGGTGAAAAATGAGGAGCTGATACCAAAGACGCAAGTAGAAAGAAGATGTTTTGAGAATGATGATGGCAACATATGTATGAATGTGCTGGACACAATTGATGTACATATGGATTGCGAAAAGAGTTGTATGAGCCCCTAATAAAATGATTTAATAAATAAATAGTCAAATAGAAACATCAGTTTGAAGTCGGCTAAATTCTCAACTGCATCTTTAGTACTCAATATGGATTAAGACTGAATTAACAAAATTAAAAGTACAGTTTCATAAATTTCCTTCATAATTCTATTGATATATTTATTTTTTTAGCAATATCTCCAGAATTATAATTTTTGTGGAAATAGGAAAGCAGTATTTCTGTTTAAAGAAAATGAAGAATGGCCAGTAGAGAACTCTTCTTAATTTTTGCATCAGGAAATGAACAGTCTTATATTGGTTTTTATCATGGACAAATTATGTCATGGTAGACAAATTTTGTGCCTACCTGGCTAGGCCATGACTCTCTGTGGTTTGGCAGTTAATTTGGCAGGGATGTGATGATTCCTCATGATACCATATCCTAATCAGAGGATTAAGGGTGGGCTGCAACACCTTTCATACGATGACAAACTGGTCCCTTGGAGGAGGACTTCCCCTCGTATTGTGGCTTACAACACCTTCTATCTTCCAAAAGCCAAACCAAACGAAATCACTACCATCCAGTCGATCCTGGCTCACTGTGACCCTGAGACAGAGGCTGAGCACCCCTTTGGGTTTCTGAGGACAAGTCTTTTGGTGGCTAAAAAGTCTCATCTTTCTCCTGCAGAGTGGCCAGTGAGTTCAAACTGCTGACCCACTACGCAAACAGAGTTCGCTACATGACAGGAGACAAAGGCAGAAAGAAACTACCAGACATCAAGGGAACTACTGCCACCACCAAGAAAGAAGAGTCAGGAGCTCCGGGGGTCCTTGGGCCCTGGGGTCACTGTATCGTGAAGTTCCTAGGTACAGGGAGATTGGTGCCCATGCACACGGAGATTAAGATCTGTGAGGCATGCTGAGAGGAGATAAGAACCTTTTCCCAGAGCAGACAGTAAGGGAAAGCCTGCTCCTGGATCCAGCATTCTGAATTGGAATTTTAGTCTCCCTAAACTGTATGGTTTTGAATTGAGAAAGGTGTGTGTCAGAGTTGTATCGTCTCACCATCCTTATTCAATCTGTATACTACAAATAATAAGAGAAAGGGGATTAGGTGACAAAGAATTTTGCATCTGGATTGGAGGAAGGCTTATTAACAACCTGTGATATGCAGATGAGCCAACCTTGCTGGTTGAAAGTGAGGAGGACTTGAGGCACTTGCCGAAGAAGATCAGAGACAGTAGCCTTCAGTATGGACTACAACACACTCTGAAGACGACCAACATCCTCACAACTGGACTAATGAGCAGCAGCATGATCAATGGAGAAAAGGTTGAATTTGTCAAGGATTTTGTCTTGCTTGCATCCATAATCAATGCTTATCGAAGAGCAGTCAAGAGATCAAAAGACAAATTGCATTGGGTAAATCTGCTACACGATACCTCTTCGTAGTTTTGAAAACCAAGGATCTTACTTTGAGGAATAAGGTGCTCCTGGCCCAAGTCTTGGTACTGACAACTGCCGCATGTGCGTGTGAAAGATGGACACTGTACAAGGAAGGTTGAAGAAGAATTGGTGCTGGCGAAGAATATTGAAAGTATCATGGACTGCTAAAAGGATAAACAATCTGGTCTTGGAAGAAGTATGGCCAGAGTACCCCTTAGTGGCAAGGATGGCGAGACTTGGTCTCACATCCTTTAGACATGAGGCAGGAGAGGGCAGAGGC